GTGTTGGCAGTCACAGGCCTGGTGCTGGAACCAGAGCACAGATCTTAGTTCCTGCTCTTCAGGCAGCAGGCAGAGAGAGAATAAGACTGATCCTGACACCCTGGACCTAGCCCTAAGCCTGGGCTTTTCAAGCCTCAAAGTGACAAACCTCAGTGACACCTCCAACATGGCCACACCTCCTAACCTTTCCCAAACAGTTCCATTAACTGGGAAACCAATATGCAAACATATAAGCCCAGTGGGGTTATTCTTGTTCAAACCATCACACAGGCCCATGAGAAACAATCTCAAAAAAAATTAAGCTATTGGCCGGCACGACAGCTCAGCCCGTAAAGGTGTCTGCTGCTAAGCCTGAGTTCAGTCCCTGGAATCCGAATCGTGGAAGGGGAGGGTGACCTTCCACAAGTTGTCCTTTGACCTCTGCATATATGTACAGAATCTCTTGAAAACACATGTTCACACACACACACACACACACACACACACACACACACACACACACAGAGTCCATAATCAAATGTAATTTTTAAAGATTAATGTACACACTAACCAGGGATAATGGTATATACTTGTGATCCCAGATCTCAGGAGGATGAGGCAGGAGGATTGGGAATTCAAAACTGTCTCAAAACAAACAGTACATTCCCACTTCTGGGCCTACTCCCAAATCCACCAAGCCAGAACTCTCACAAGAAGCCTGAGTTTTGAATGAGCAACATGTTTCCTGAACAACTCTGCTGCCCAAGCCCCTTTTTTTTTTTTTCCTTTAACTTAAAAAAGAAAAAAAAATAGAAGAGGAAGCTAGACAGTGATGGGGGACACCTTTAATCCCAGCAATCGGAAGGCAGAGGCAGGTGGAGCTCTGTGAGTTCGAGACCAGCCTGGTCCTCAGAGCCAGTTCCAGGACAGCCAGGGCTACACAGAGTAATGTCTTGAAAACAAGAAAAAGAAAAACTGAAAGAAAAAAAAAGATTTATTTTTTATTTGTGTGCGTGCGTGTCTGTGTAACTGCCTTTGTGTGTGCCCCTGGGAGGCAGAAGACCTTGAATCCTGGAGCTTGAGTTAAAGGCCATTATGAACTTCCTGATGTGGGTGCTGGGAACTGAACACAGGTCCTTTGAAAAGACAGGCAGTGCTCTTGCACACTGAGCCATCTCTCTAGCCCGTGTGTGTGTGTGTGTGTGTGTGTGTGTGTGTGTGTGTGTGTGTGTGTTTGTATGAGAATGCTATCTAGTATTTGGAGGCCAAAGGGTCTCTATTTCCACCATTTGGGTCTCAGGTCATCAAGCTTGGTGGCAAGCCTCTTCACCCACTAAGCCATCTTACGAGCCCCATTTTTTTTTCTTACGTGTGCGTGTGCGTGTGCGTGTGTGTGTGTGTCTATACAAGCTTAATCGAGTACATGTTACTGAATATATGTCTGTACATAGAGAGGGTAGAGGACAACCTTGGGTGGTATTCCCCAGGCTCCATCCACCTTGGCTTGTTTGTTTTTGGTACAGGATCCCACTATGTAGCACTGGTTGCTGGTTGGCCTGGAACTCATTACGTAGACAGGGCTGGCCTTAAACGCAGAGCCCCTCCTTAGTGCTGGGATTACAGGTGTGTGGCACACACCTGGCTTTCTTCTCTAAATGAAAATTCTTTGAATTCTCCCAGAGGGGCCTGGGATGCCAGGACTTGGTTTGACACCCTCAGAGCACTGGGGTGGGAGCAGGGAGCTGAAAAACAGGAGACCAAAAAAAAAAAAAAAAAAAAAAAAAAAAAAAAAAATTTTTTCCCCCCCATGACACCCAGAGAAAAGAAAAAAGAAACAGGGGCTCAGGGGACACAGGGGACACCTTACATTCCTTGATCTGACTCCTACCTGGCCCCTGCAGACTGGAAGGACCTTCCTCCTATAAGCCACCGACCCCCAAGGCCAAGCTGGAGGAACCAGAGATGGTGAGATGATAGCCCCAGCTACCCTGCCTCTCTTCCCACCTTTCCTCTTTGGGGTTGAGCCAGGAGGGGTGCTGTTGGGCCGTGACAGGGCTGGCTGGGAGAGCCACTGTGAGGGGTCCTGACTTAGACCTTATGTCATGCCACAGCCCTCCCAACTCTTCACTCTGGGGGCCTCGGAGCATAGCCCAGTGAAGACGCCATATTTCGACGCTGGTGTCTCTTGTGCTGATCAGGTAGGTGTTTCCGGGTAAACCAGGATGGGTTTAGGGTCATGAGTCAAGGCTGGGTAGAGTGGAGTCAGTGAGAGCATCTGAGTTGCCCAGGGGCTGTGCTTGAAGACCTGATTTGAGCACTCAAGGTTAAATAAAGATTGAGGTCAGAACTTGGTAGTTCCTGTGATCCTGACAGTTGGGAAGCTAAGGCAGGAGGATCACCAAGAATTGAAATCATGGTGGGTTCAACCAACCTGGGCTACATAGTGAGTTCAAGGCTAGCATGAGTAAAAAGTGAGACTTTGTTTCAAAACAGGCAATAAGAGCAGAGGGATTGATGACTCAGTGGTTTTGAGCTTGCTATCCTCATGAGGACCAGAGAGTCATGAGGACTAGAGCCAGAGTCGCATACTAGGCATCCTCAAATGCCTGTGACTCCAGCGTGGAGGTCAGATACCCTCTTTTGGCCATTTTGCTCACAGTTGCACGTGCATACACACACAAACACACACAGGAGTGTACGGAAATATTTTCAACAATCAAGAGAAAAGATTGAAACTAAGCCTGGAGTGGAGTATACACCTGTAATCTCAGTACTTGGGAGACTGAGGCAGGATTACCACTGTTTGTGAGCCCAACCTATGCTATATAGTGAGAACCTGTATTTAAAAAAAAAAGTCAAGTTGATTGCAAGAGTTCACACTTGTCCCAGCACTGAGGACATGGAGGCAGGATGATGAAGAATTCAAGGCCATCCCTGGCTACAAAGAATTTAAGGAGACCCTGAGCTGTTTGAGACCTTGTCTCCAAACAAACCAAATGATTGAGGTCAGGCTGAGTTATAACTCAATTGGCACAGTTTTGCCTAGCATGTTCAATGCCCTGATTTTGTAATTGTGGTTCCAAACCAGTACTTCTAACTCTCGGGAGGCAGAGGCAAGCAGATAGATCTCTGTGAGTTCCAGGCCAATCTAGTCCACCACAACAGTCAGGGCTACATAGAGACTGAGTCTCAAAAAAGAAGGCAGCCTCGATACATATAGTATGTTCAAGGCCAGTCTTCTATACAGGACACCAGTCTTAAAAAAAAAAAAAATCTAGGCATGGTGGCATATGCCATTAATCCCAGCACTCTGGAGGCAGAGGCAAGTGGATCTCTGTGAGTTCAAGGCCAGCCTGGTCTACAGAATGAGTTCCTGTTACACAGAGAAACCCTGTCTCAACAAAACAAAACAAAACAAAAAAACAAACCAGGTTTGATGGTCACACCTTCAATCCCAGCACGTGGAGACAGGCCGGTGGATCTCTATGGCCTCTGTGAAGCCAGCCTGGTCTACACTGAGAGTTACTGGTTAGTCAGGACTACAAAATAAGACCCTATCTGAAGCAAAACAAAACCAGCAACTGCTGGGCATAGTGGCATATGCCTTTAGGTTCAGCACTCAGGAGGAGATCTCTCAGTTCAAGGCCAACTACATAGTGAGTTCCAGATCAGCCAGAGCTACCTAGTGAGACCCAGTCTGAGAAGGAAGGAAGGAAGGAAGGAAGGAAGGAAGGAAGGAAGGAAACATACCCCAGTAGAAGTCAAATGTTGTGTAAGGATTTGGGTTCAGGGATCAAGGAAGAAGAGTGAGGAAGTCAATGCTGGTGAAAGGCGGCCACATGGAGCAGTTCAATCCTGGGGAAAGGACAACAGTGCCATAGTTGGGTCTGTTTGACATGGGACAAGGGGCAGATTGAGGAATACCATCCTGAGACTGAGGTGACCTTGAAATCCTGCTTGCTCTCCACTTCTAGGACATGCCTCGGTATCACGAGCTGCCCACCCTGGAAGATCGGTCAGGGCCCCTGCTTTTGGGGGCCACAGGCCTGGGCCCTTCTCTTCTGGTATCTCCAGGACCCCCTGTTGTGGAAGGGGTCTCCCTGGGTCTTGAAGATGAGGAGGAGGATGAGGAGGAGGAAGACTTCCTGGATAAAATCAACCCTATTTATGATGCCCTGTCCTACCCCAACCCCTCGGATTCCTACCAAGGCAAAGACTTTTTCGTGCGAGGGCCATGTATGTGTAAGGCACAGGGGCTCTAGCCTCTCAACTTTCACCCTTGACCCTCAGCTTTCCACCAGTGATCTAGGACACTCTGACTTCCAGCCAAGTCGGGGTCAGCTTTCACCCCTGCAACCCACCTGCTCGTGACTTCTTAGTGGCTCCACCATGACCTCCGACCCCGACAAACCTGCATGACTGGAAACCTGGGAGTTTTCTCTCCCAAGGCAGGGAGCTCAGAGGAGCCTTCTGTACCACCTCTGACCATGCCACACTCCATCCCCACCTAGATCTCAAACACACACACACACACACACACACACACACACACACACACACACAGTCTCTCTCTAAGTCTCTTCCCTTTCTCTCTCCCTCTCCCTACCCCTTTCTCTTTTCTCCCCCCCCCGCTCTAGGGCCTCCCTGCTGCTCAGACCTGAGCCCTCCAGGCAGCAGCAGCTCACCTGATCCGTCCTCACCCTACTCCCCAAAAGTGAAAAGGAGAGGACTCCCCGGTGTAAGGTAGGACCTCCCCATCTCCACCCACTCCTGCAGGCAGGAAACTCAGGGTTCACACCCTCTCCTCATCACCCGGTACCCCAATTCCTGTCTCCAGAGAACGAAGCCCAGGCCCAGAGCTGGAGGGGAGACCCTAAAGCAAGTGTGCCTTGCCACCCCGTGTTTGAGAGACTTGCTCTTATCTTGAAGACTACTGAATCCTTTGAACCCCTACCCAGCGGGAGGAGGGCTACACATCCCTCTTTAAGGGGGTGGGGTGTGTGAGAGATGGGGCATCTGGGTTGGGAATTTGGGCAATATTATTTTGTAAGCATTTCCTACAAAATACGAGTTTATACTTTGATAAAAGTCTTGTGTTTTCTGTGAGGAGTGAAGGGAACGCAACAGGACACGAAGGAAATGAGTAAGGGCTGGAGCCTGAAGGTCCCAAAGAGACCCCAGAAATTGATTAATAGCAAATAAGCAAAACAGCATCAACCAAGACAAAGCGACCCAGGGATGCAAGAGGCGTCTGGCAGACGCACGGCGTTGAAAAGAACCGGCTGCAACAGCTGCCTGACGATTAGCAGCTCCAGGTCATAGAAACAGACACGGACACACCTGGAGCCAACCATCCAAGAGGGGCTTAGGGTTAGTGAGTCGATGGCAGTTAATAGGCTAAGGGCACCTGAGGGGCTGAGGCAGAAGGGTCGCCCACAGTTCAAGACCAGCTTGGACGCACACAGTTGGAAAAGTGAGTTGGAAAAGGATGGGTCATTAAAAAAAATAATAATAAATAGATACTAGATCATGGGGAGAACATTTTCAAAGAGGAC